AAGAGGTTCTTTTTGGTGTGCTTACAATGGCAGAGGGTAATGCCATTTTCATTACAATGAACAGGCCAAGACACAGGCTCTGTGGTAAACATTTCTACTACATTTAAGCAGTGTACATTTTATTTTCCATTCACAATTACATATACTGTTGAACAATATCAACAGAAAACAATAATTTTCTTATATTTCTTATATTAGTTTGTGTTTTGTTGAGAAGGGTGAGTATAACAGTGTTATGTCAACCCTGATTCATCTTCACAATTCCCCTAGTAAGTGACACAAGTATTCTTCTCCAGATGGAGGAAACAGACACAAAGAGGGTATGTGTCATGCCCAAGGCTACACAGCAAGGCAGGGAGATAGCCAGGCTATTTAGGAATTCCTGGCTCTTCCTCACTCAATCCAGACTGGACCACACTGCATCTCTAGTAGTGTAGGTGGCCTCTCTTCACAGCATTTGGCTCCATCTGAATAGTTTTACAACTGCTGTAATCTTATAAGCAGTTTATCAATATTATAACATGTTTCACCTCTATTTCTGCTGTTCTGGGAAATGGTGTTACCACCTTGCTAGAACCAACTAATTTTTAATGCAGTCGTCATAAATTTGGTTTCAGTGCAACTGTAAACAAGTACATTTGGTGGCCAGTGGCCAACTGTTTAAGACTTCCGACTTCTCTGATAATGGTGCTCAACAGTTTTTGCAATGATGTATATCATCTGAGTCATTATTTTTACCTAATTTTCATCCTTTGCACATATTCTGTTGCTTAATAAACACATACATGTGATTGCCTATTTTCTTCTACTTAAGTTTGGCAATTGGTCCACATTTTTCTCTCTTTGAAGTATGTGTTTTGGCTGATTTTTGGACTCAATCTCAGAAAGAAAGAATTATCAGAAAAAAACAGATAAGTGACCTTGAGTGGCCTTATTAAGTTAAGAATTTGATTTAAGTCTTGTATGGGACAGTGCTCTAATAAATGGAACTACACACTGGATTTCTTGAAATTCTTTTAAAATATTTTATTCCTTTTGTTTTCAATTAAATTGAGTCCACATCATAATATTAAACTAATCTCTATAATAATTTTAACTTGGTTATATTATCTCCATAATTTTGTCATAGAATCATAGAAAATTAGGATTGAAAGGGACCTCAGGAGGTCATCTAGTCCAACCCCTGGATCAAATCAGGGGGAACTATAGTCTCCTTGGCTGGGAACTATACAATCCCAGTCAATGCTTTGTCTAGTTGGGTCTTATAAACCTCCAAGGATGGAGGTTCCACATTGTCTCTGAGTAACCTATTCCAGTGTTTTACTACCCTCCTAGTGAGAAGATTTTTCCTAATATCTAACCTAAACTTCACCTTGCTGAAACTTGAAACCATTGCTCCTTGTTCTGTCATCTGCTATCACAGAGAACGGTCCAGCTCCATCCTCTGTGGAACCTCCCTCCCCCCCATTTCAAGTAGTTGAAGGTTGCTATTAGTCTTCTCTTCTCCAGACTAAATAAAACCAGCCTCTCCTCATAACTCATGTGCCCCAATCCCCTTACCATTTCCATTGCCCTTTGCTGGACCCTCTCCAGTTTGTCCACATCCTTTCTGTAGTGGGGAGCCTAAAACTGAACACAATACTCCAGATGTGGCCTCACCAGTGTTGAATAGTGGGGAATAATCACTTCCCTTGATCTGCTGGCAGCACGCCTAGCAATGCACCCCAGTATGCGGTTAGCCGCCTTGGAAACAAGGGCACACTGTTGGATCATATTCATCTTATTGTCCACTAACCTTCAGGTCCTTTTCTGCAGTGCTGCTGCCTAGCCAGTCAGTCCCAAGCCTATACTGCGGCATGGGATTGTTCCATCCTAAGTACAGGATCTTGCACTTATCCTTATTGAATCTCATGAGATTTATTTTGGTTCAATCCTTTAATTTGTCTAGGTCTCTCTGAATCCTAACACTACCCTCCAGTGTAAGAGCTACTCCCCTCAGCTTGGTGTCATCTACAGATTTGCTGAGGATGTACTTTTATGCCATCTTCCAGGTTGTTGATGAAGATATTGAACAAAACTGGCTCCAGGGCCAACCCCTGGTGCATTCCAGTTGATACTAGCTGTCAACTAAAGATCAAGTTATTGACTACTTCCCTCTGAGCCTGATGATCTAGCTAGTTTTCTATCCACCTTGCAGTCCATTTATCCAACCTGCACTTTCTTAGCTTGCCTGTGACAATTTTGTGGGAGACCATATCAAAAGCCTTCCTAAAGTCAAGGTATACCACATCCACTAGTTTCCCCACATCCACAGAGCCAGTCACCTCATCATAGAAGGCAATCAGGTTGGTCAGGCATGACTTACTCTTGGTGAATACATGCTGATTGTTCCTAATCATCTTCTTCTCTTCCAAGTGCTTAGAAATGCATTCCTGGAGGACCTGCTCCATGACGTTTGCAGGAACTGTGGTGCAGCTGACTGGTCTGTAGTTCCCTGGACCCCCATTTTTCCCTTTCTTAAAGATGGACACTATATTTGCCCTATTCCAGTTGTCCAGGAATTTCTCCCATTTGTCATGAATTTTCAAAGATGATGGCCAGTGGCTCTGCAGTCACATTGGCCAACTCCTTTAGCACCCTCAGGTGCATCCCATCTGGCCCCATGGATTTGTATATGTCCAGCTTTTTAAAATAGTCCCTAACCTGTTCTTTTGCCACTCTTGCCTGCTCACCTCCTCCCCAGACTGTGCTGCCAGGTGCAGTAGTCTGGGAGCTGATCTTTCCTGTGAAGACTGAAGTGAAAAAGGCATTGAGTACTTCAGCCTTTTCTGTATCCTCTGTCACTAGGTTGCCTCCCCCATTCAGTACGGGACCCACACTTTTCCTGATCTTCCTCTTGCTGCCAACATACTTGCAGAAACCCTTCTTGTTACCCTTCATGTCCCTTGCCAGCTGCAACTCCAATTGTGCTTTGGCCTCCCTGACTTCATTCCTGCATGCCCAAGCAATACTTTTATACTCCTCCCTAGTTGTTTGTCCAAGTTTCTACTTCTTATAAGCTTCCTTTTTGTGATTTAGCTCACTGAAGAGTTTCCTGCTAAGACAACCTTGTCTTTTGCCATACTTTCTGGTCTTCTGCCATACTTGCTGGTCTTCCTGTACATGAGGATGGTTTGCTTCTGCCCTCTTAATAAGGTTTCTTTAAAGTACAGCCAGCTCTCCTGGACTTCTCTCCCCCTCAGACTAATTTCCCAGGAGATCCTGGCCATGAGTTCCCTGAGCAAGTCAAAGTCTGGTTTTTGAAGTCCAGGATCCTTACTCTTCTACTCTCCTTCCTCCTTTTCCTCAAGATCTTGAACATCAACTTGTGCTCACTGCTGCCTAAATTGCCATCCAATTTTTTGGTTTGGTATCCCTAGTAAATAGCGACCCATTTTCTTCTTGGGTCCATTCTTTTTGGATCCACCTTCTTCTAACATTTTTCTGAATTTTGGAATAAATTGCTTACTTGAAGAGGGAGCATTGGTATTTTGTTTCCTTTTAGCATCATCTCCATGTCCCTCATTGTTATGGTGGCAGATTGCCAGATTTGTATGGCTAGCATGAAAACTGCACCTTTTTTGGACATAAAAAGACAAGAGCTAATTTAATGAAAATAAATTAGTACTCATTTCTATACATTTTACTTTGAGCTCATTATTTGCTTCTCTGCTTCTTCTACTGTAATTAAGACCTAGAAGTTAGCTTTGGCTATCCATCAGAATGCTAAGTTATATTTTACTTACATGAATATTTTGGAATAGAAGAAATTTTAGCTATGCGTCCGTCATGTCTGGGACCCCTTTTTTAAATCTTTCCATTAAGTCTTATCAAGTTAAACTTTAGGCAAAATCATGAAATCAGTGAGTTGAATCTACAGTGATGTTCATTTGGATTGATAGTGGCATAAATGCAAACAGGAGTTTGACAATTAAAGCTACATAAGTTTAAGTGAAAATGGAATTCATCTTAGTGCGTTTAAGCTCTGAAAGCTTTGTTTCTAAGACTAACTTACAATATTATTTTATATGTTTTTGTATTTTACATTCATTTCCAGCCAAGTACAAGCAAAGCATATGGCAAAGTTGAATACAGTAATTGATCAGTGACCCTTATTAGAGCAAATTATTAGGCCTTTATTAGAGTTATATGTGAGAATAGAAACTGGAAAACAATCACTTCCAATGTTCTTCAGAATGACTGATGTTCTAACTCAGACAGTGGCCAGTACCTGATACTTTGCTGGAAGAAAGTACTTATTTCTTCCATATTTTGTGTTCTGTGGTATGTAATCAGATATCATTTATTTTATCAAGCATAGCTACACATGATGGGATTGTAAAAAAAAAAAAAAAAAAAAAAAAA